AGGAAGAGAGGGAGGGAGGAAGGGGGAAGGAAGGAGGGGGAGGGAGAGGGGGAGAGAGGGAGGGAGGGAGGAAAAGAAAAAAGGGAATAGAGAAGGAGGGAGAGAGGGAGGAAGGAAGGAGAATGGAAGAAACAAAGGGAGAAAGGAAGGAAGGAAGAAGGAAGGAAGGAAAAGAGGGAGCGAGGGAAGAAGGAAGGAAAAAAAGAAGGGCAGGCGACAGAGCCTGGGCAACAGAGCAAGACCCTGTTGCAAAAATAACAGTAACAAGCAATAAGCAATTTCCAGCACCTCCTGTGTGACATCCCCTGTGTTGGACAACGCTAAGGACACAGTAGTGACCAAGACAGGTGCCCGCTCTGCCTTCACAGTTCCATGAAGGAGGCAGCCCCATCACCAGACAGGAACAGCCCAGAGCGACCAGGTTCTTAAAGGGGAAACAGAGGCAGAGTGACAGCACTGTGGTGAGAAAAGCCCACAGTCCTATGGAGGCTTGAAGGAGATCCCTAACCCAGCCTGGAGGGTCCAGGAGGGCTTACTGGAAGGCGCCAGGGAGATTCCAAACTCCGTCCCTCTCCCAACAAACACCAGGAAAGGGGACACAGATGGCAGAGGCCTCAGGATGAGCTCCTGGTTAAGCTGGCCCCCTCCTATTCTCCCCAAGTATCGCCTTCTGCAATGGGGATCGATGGAAGATCCTCAGACACTTCTCTATCCAGGTTCTACGAAGTTTCGGGATGGAGAAGGCAAGCATCGAGGAGCGGATCCTAGGGGGAGGCAGCTTCCTGCTGGCGGAGCTGCGGAAAACTGACGGTCGGGAATTTCTTTTTTTTTTTAACAGGCTGGAGTGAGGCAGCGTGATCTTGGCTCACTGCAGCCTTAACCCCCTGGGCTCAAACCAACCTCCCACCTCAGCCTCCCGAAAAGCTGGTACTTCAGGTGTGCTCCACCACACTCAGCTTAAATTTTTTGTAGAGATAGGGTCTCACTATGTAGCCCAGGCTGGTCTCAAACTCCTGTGCTCAAATGATCTTCTTGCCTCAGCCTCCCAAAGTGCTGGAACTACAGGCATGCACCACCACGCCTGGCCAGGTCTTCAAATCCAGTCGATCCTCATAATTCACACCTATTCTACTTTTTTTTTTTTTTTTTTCTTTGAGACAGAGTCCCGCTCTGTTGCCCAGGCTGAAGTGCAGTGGTCCTGTCTTAGCTCATTGCAACCAGGTTCAAGTGATTCTCCTGCCTCAGCCCCCCAAGCAGTTGGGATTACAGGTGCCCACCACCACACCTGGCTAATTTTTGTATTTTTAGTAGAGATGGAGTTTTGCCATGTTGGCCAGGCTGGTCTTGAACTCCTGACCTCAGGTGATCCACCTGCCTCAGCCTCCCTAAGTGCTGGGGTTACAGGTGTGAGCCACCGCGCCCAGCTTACATCGCCTTTACTTACTCAGTCTCTTCTGCCTCCCTGTGATTACATCATTCCCAGACAGAGAGTCCAGAGTAAACTTCCCATCTCAAAACCTTCAGCTTAATCCTACCTGCAAGGTCCTTTTTACCATGTAAGGCAACACATTCACAGGTTGTAAGTGTAAGGACATGGACATCTTTGGGGGGCCATGAGCCATCACAGCCTGCCACAACACCACAGTCTGTAGCAGCCTCACAGCGGGTCAGGCCCTTCACTGACTCCCAGCCACACACTCACTGACTCCTTATAGTAGTCCTATGACGAGAGGAGTGCCATCAGACCCATTTCACAGATGAGAAAACTGAGGCTCAGAGAAAGGCAGTCAGTTGGCCCAAGTCATACCGAGATTAAGAGGCCAAGTAGGATTCACACCACATTCATCTAACTCCAGATCTGGTTTTCTGGGGTGTGCTATTATGTCCTGGGTGTTGTGTTGAAATGTGTTGTTTTGGCCAGGTATGGTGGCTCATGCCTGTAATCCTAGCACTTTGAGGGGCCAAGGCAGTGGATTGCTTGTGCTCAGGAGTTCAAGACCAGCCTGGGCAACATGGTGAAACCCTGTCTACCAAAAATACAAAACTTGGGCTGGGCACAGTGGCTCATGCCTGTAATCCTAGCAATTTGGGAAGCCGAAGTGGGCTATCACTTGAGGTCAGGAGTTTTAGACCAGCCTGGCCAATATGGTGAAACCCTGTCTCTACTAAAAATACAAAAAAAAAAAAATTTTAGCCGGGTGTGATCTCAGCCTCTTGGGAGGCCGATGCAGGAGAATCGTTGAACCCAGGAGGCAGAGGTTGCAGTGAGCTGAGATTATGCCACTGTACTCCAGCCTGCGCGATGGAGTGAGATTCCATCTCAAAAAAAAAAAAAAAAAAGAAAAGAAAGAAAGAAATGTGTTGTTTGGTATTTACTATGGTTTGTTCAGCTGTTGGATGGCCAGATGCTTTTTTTGAGACGGAGTTTCACTCTTGTTGCCCAGGCTGGAGTGCAATGGTGCAATCTCAGCTCACCGCAACTTCCGCCCCCTGGGTTCAAGCTATTTTCCTGCCTCAGCCTCCCAAGTAGCTGGAATTACAGGCACCCACCACCACTCCTGGCTAATTTTTTTGTATTCTTAGTAGAGACAGTGTTTCTCCGTGTTAGGCTGGTCTGGAACTCCTGACCTCAGGTGATCTGCCCATCTCGGCCTCCCAAAGTGCTGGGATTACAGGAGTGAGCCACCGCGCCCGTCCCTTGTGTTGAGATATTTCTGGGTGAGATCGTAGTGTTCTCAGGCACTGCATGTGGTTTTGCGTGAGTCATCTGCTGGCTGCCGGCATTGTTGCATTGCTGCATAGTGTGTCATTTGCTCTGCTGCCTTGATTGCATGTGGTGTGATGTCACATTGCGTGTCCCGTGCTGTTGGCTGGGTTGCTGGGTACTAGTGAGCTTTGTGTGGCAGGATTATGTAGCTGTATGCTGGCATTACGTGTCGTGTTATCACGTCTTGGGATGTTTCCCGGCTGGCTGGCAGGTCACTGCGTGTCGTGTGTTGGCATGTACTGTGGTCGTGTTTGCTGGGTGTCATGTTGCCCTGTGTTGTGTTCCATGATGCCTGATGATTGACTTGTGCTATATTGCATGCCGTGTGTAGTGTTGCCAAGAATAGCCCATTTCTGTGGTTGGGTATTGTTGCTGTCAATGTGCTGCAGGAAGTTGTGGGTTCTGTGCTGTCTGGGGCATTGCCAAATGCTTTTGGAGTGTTGTTAAACTGCATGTGGTGGCCACGTGCCTGTGTGCTGCGCGGCAAGACGCGCTGCCACGGTTGAGTCAGATGTTGTGCACATTAATGGCGTTGCTGCATGAGGTCTGGCGAGCTGCACAGCGTGTCTTCCTGATCCGTCCCACCCCTCACCCTCAGGCGAGCCCTTCAACCACACCTTTGTGCTGAGTCGCTCAGTGTGCAACATTATCTGTTCCGTGCTCTTCGGCAGCCGCTTCGATTATGAAGATGACCGTCTGCTCACCATTGTCTGCCTTATCAATGACAACCTCCAACTCATGAGCAGCCCCTGGGACGAGGTCAGCCAGCTGAGTTCAACAAGAACGGGGTGTGGGGTCCGCAGGATCTAGGAATGGAGAGAAAACAGTGGGCGGGGAATGGGCTGTGAATGCCCCGCCCAGGGCCCGCCCCCTCCCGTCTGACCCCGCCCAGAGTCACACGGCCACGCCCATTCCCCTCCGCAGAGCAGCAGAGCGTTTATGGCCTCGGTTCCCTCCTCCCCACTCCCGCTCAGCCCCAAACCCCACCCCGGACTCTCCAGAACCTGGCTGCCCTTCAAGACCCTGTCGCTGCCTACCTAATCCACACTGACCCCATTCGCCCCCTGAACACACGCCCTGCGTCCTCCTCCAAAACCCTCCCACTGTCTGGTCCCCAGTTGTACAACATCTTCCCGAGCCTCCTGGACTGGGTGTCCGGGCCGCACCGACGCATCTTCCAGAACTTCAAGTGCCTGAGAGACCTCATTGCCCACAGCGTCCACGACCACCAGGCCTCGCTAGACCCCAGATCTCCCCGGGACTTCATCGACTGCTTTCTCACCAAGATGACAGAGGTCATCCCTACCTGGAAATCCCACCTCTAGTCTGACCTGAAATTTTCCTGCTGCCCCTGTCTCAAACACACAGGGATCCCAGATGGGGCAGGGTTTTGGGGGACCTTCTCCCTGGAAGAGAAGCTGGAGCATCTGGCCCTGCTGGATGCTACCACCAACCTAGAGCTCATTAAGAAGTCATCAAAGGCGATGGGGGGCGGGTGGGGGGCAGTTGCTCACTCTTGTAGTCCCAGCACTTTGGGAGGCTGAGGAAGGAGGATTGCTTGAGTCCAGGAGTTCGGGACCAAGCTGGACAATATAGTGAGACCCAGTCTCTACAAGACATACATACTACATACATACGTATGTAATACACACATAAAACGTATTTTAAGGCCGGGTGCGGTGGCTTATGCCTGTAATCCCAGCACTTTGGGAGGCCAAGACAGGTGGATCACAAGGTCAGGAGTTCAAGACCAGCCTGGCCAAGATGGTGAAACCCCATCTCTACTAAAAATACAAAAATTAGCCAGGCACGGTGGCAGAAGCCTTTAA